TGCACTCCAGTCTGGGCAACAGAGTGAGACTCCAATTCAAAAAAAAAGAATATTCACCAACTGGAGACTTCAACAGTAAAGGCAAGTTGCCAAAGAGGTGGCAGAATCTGGCTTTTAGAATGTTCATGAAAGTAGTTGCCTGCCCCTTTCCCCTGGAATATGTCTTCATCTTATTGAAGATAAGAGGTCAAGGTAGGTGCCGTGGCTCACACCTGTAATCCCAGCACTTTGGAAGGCAGAAGTGAGAGGACTGCCTGAGTGCAGGGGTTCAAGACCAGTCTGGGCAACTTGGCGAGACCTTGTCTCTACAATAAATCAAAAAATTAGCCAGGTGTGGTGGCACACACCTGTAGTTCCAGATACTTGGAAGGCTGAGGCGGAAGGATCACCTGAGCCCAGCAGGTCGAGGCTGTGGTGGTCACTTCACTCTAGCTCAAAAAAGAAAAAAAAAAGAAGAGATCAGATGTAATGGTGAAAGAGAAATGCTACTCAGCTTTACAGCTTGGCAGCCCTACGATATGACAAGCATTGTTGCGGGATGGCTTCCTGGGGTCATCATAGACAATAAATTACCCTATGACCTGATGATGACTCACCTAAAACAAAAAAGTATCTATGAAATTATAGGGAAATACTGTTTGCTAAGAGATTTGTCTTATTCTTTCAAAATGACTTCCTCTACCCCTAAAGCATAGTTTCTCAATCTGGCATTCCCATCTTTGATCTTCAGGGCTCACCGTTCTCAGTGATGGACAAAAGGCACATGAGGCGAAGGCTTTCTATGGGTGACACCTGCAGAGGAAGGCAGAATCAAGGAGAGTGGATTTTTCCTGACGTGGTCTTTTCTTTCTTCTGCTTGAGGCTGACCCACCTCCACATCATTCTCAGCAACCCCAGGCCTCGGGCCGCCCACCTGCCGGTCTATGTGTTCCTCGATGTAGCTGGTACTCTCTCGGATGTTAAAGCCCTCCAGCAGTGCTGTGAGTAATCAGAAGAGTGCCTGTTACCGGGGGATCAGTGCAGTTATTGCCATCTATGCTAACAGGCATCTGTCTCCCCATCTTTCCCCATCCTTGGGGCGGGTAAAGGGGTTCCCAGGACTTCTAGCAGAAACCACCATTTCACACAGCCAGTGTCAGCTGGAAAGAGCCAGAGTGTCTTTTAAGGGTGGGACAGGGCTGGGAGCTGGAGAATAGATGCATAGGAAGTCATACGACAAGGCCACTGAGGTTACCATGCTCGGTCTTGATGAGCTCCTGGAAGTCTTGCTTGGTTTTCTTCTTCATGATGGATTCGCAGGCCCCAATATCTACAGATTGGACAGAAAAGGAGTTGGCATAGTCCTAGTTTAGAAGGATATCCTGGCTGGCACAGTGGCTCACACAGGTAATCCCAGCACTTTGGGAGGCTGAGGTGAGGGGATTACTTGAGCCCAGAAGTTGGAGACCAACCTGGACAACATAGCAAGACCTCGTTTCTACAAAAAAATTTTTTTAAATAAAAAAATTAGCTCTGCATGGTAGCATGTGTCTGTACTCCCAGCTACTCAGGAGTCTGAGTTGGAAGGATCACATGAGCCCAGGGAGTCGAGGCTGCGGTGAGCCGTGATGGAGCCACTGCACTCCAGACTGGATGACAGAGCGAGACTCCAAAAAAAAAAATCCCTTTATTATCCAGAAGAATAAAAACCTCTTAGGGCAAAATCCAGAAGTACTTCTTCCTTCTTCCCACTCTAGATCAAATAAGACCATTATCTGCCAGATGAACAGAGGCCTCCCCCACAGAGGCCAGGGTCCTCTGTGACATTCCCCTGGAGGGAGCAGTCACATCCCCTTATGCCCCCAAGCTGAAACCTACGGAGACTCAGCAGGCGGTGCTCTTGTTTCAGCCCCTTGAGCTCCTGGGACACGAAGTTCTTCATCTGCTTGATATCCATGCCTCTCCGGCGCTGTGGGAAGTCCCCATAAGGTCAACCCCCTTGACCTCAGACATGAGAAATCAGCACCCTCTCTCAGCTGCCACTCATCCACATGAAAGTACAGGGACCCTGGCACAGTGTGAGAAGGGGAGCCAAGGGGCAGCAGCCTTAGGAAGGCACTAAGGAAACAAGACAGAGCAGCAGGGCTTGGGGCCTCACGTCATACTGGGCCTGCAGGTTCCGGGCCTTCTGGCTCAAGAAGCCGAAGACATTGGAGAAGTGCTCGTTCCGAATCTCATTAAACACCTGTGAGAGTAACAAGACAGCAACTGCTTACTCCACAGGAACCATAATTTGTTCCTTCCTACGCGTTAGTACAATGATAGTACAGGAAGAATGCTCAGCTGCTCTAACGGAAGAACAAAGGAAGCCTAGCTGGTATCAATAAGTCAATGTCAGCCGGGCACAGTGGCTCACGCCTAGAATCCCAGCATTTTGGGAGGCCAAGCTACGAGAATTGCTTGAACCCAGGAGTTTTACAACAGCGAGGACAACACAGTGAGACCTCATCTTTAAAAAAAAAATTAGCCAGGCGTGGTGACAGGCACCTGTAGTCCCAGCTACTTTGGAGCCTGAGGCAGAAGGATCACCTGAGCCCAGGAGGTCAAGACTGTGATGAGCCATGATCCGCACCACTGCTTCTAGCCTGGGCCAGAGTGAGACCCTCAACTCAAAAAAAAGTCAATGGTGAGTACCTACTATGTGCTCTGGCACATGCTCTTAACTGGTGAGAAAACCCTCTCTCCCAGAGCTGGGTACACAACCAGGTATAGGTAGTGGAATGAGGTAAATTCAGTGCTCGCACCCACACTCTCACCTTGTCCTCAGCATTGAGTAGCACCTTCAAGCTCTTGTCAGAAGATGTGACTTCTGGGCCAAAGTCAACACTACCTTTGAGAGCAAAGGAGACAGCTATTAAGATCACCAGTGAGGCCTCTCTTACCCTTCCCTGAACTGGTAAAGATCCCTCAAAATACTTGGAAGCCAGCAGTTCACTCAGAGTCTAGGTTTCTCCAACAAGTCCTCCCTCCCAGGGCTTATGGGAGGCACCAGAAGCTGATAACCACACCCATCTTGCCAAGACACAGAGGACCATGGTACTTACCACACTTGATACGAAAGGTGTCATCCACCAGGCCCTCGTAAACCACCTGGGAGCAAAGCGCTGTCACAAAGTCCATGTCTGAAACCAAGACCCCAGCCATGAAGGTTCTCCCTGACCCAGGCTTCTAATCAGTTCACTCAATGTCAGCTCTAGTACTTTCTACAGGGCCCAAGCGCCCACGATCCTAATCAATGCTGTGATTCACAGCCCTAACTTTAGGATCCTAACTTTGGTGCCAACACTTTCCATATCCCCGTGTTCTCTAGGATCCAAAGACAAGAGGAATACAGACAAAATGTACCTCTGTCCAAGAAAAAGATATGTCCAATCTCTGGCCTTCGGCCCTTGGTTTCACCATCCTCCTCCTCCTCCAGTCTTCTCCACAGTTCATATGACATCTGCCAGGGCCCAAGACATTCTCAGTCTTGTGTCCAGGTCCCTACTGCAGCCCACACTTAGAGAAGCCACCTCCTTCCATGTGATGCTTCTCCATGCCCCCAGAGGGGGAGCTCATTGTCAACAAGAGTATGTACTCTCCCATCTGCTCCTATCCCTCCCACCCCTCTCCACACTGATGAAGGGGTATGGCCCTGCCCAAAGGTAAAAAAAAGATCCAGGCATGCTCTCCTGGAGGCCCTGGCTCTTGCCTTTGTTCTCCTCTCTGAGGAACTATTCTGGAACAATAAAAGCAAGGCAAAGAATACACCTCATATTACAGATGCCCTTGGATAATGCTGGGTGGGCACAGGCCAGGGGACATAGGTTCTATCAGGACAACAGGCCTGCCAGTGCTCTTACCTTGGCACATCTGCCAATTCCATAGCAATTCGGAAAGGGGCCGTAGAGAGTACTAAGGAGGTGCAAAGCCTGCGCCACTGTGTTGATCCAGCGCTGATCTCCTTCCTATAGGGACCACATGGGCCGCAGAGATATGGACCAACCCAGCAGGCCCATCTGGAGGGTGGCTAGCCTAGAAGCCCTGGAGCAGGAAGATGCTTGAAAGAATGCATTTTCATTGGCCCTGAAGGAAGTCCCATGGAGGTCATCTTGTAGCATTCACTCACTGTCACTCGTGATAAATTATTCGAGTTGGACAAAAGTTAACTCAGTATTTCTAGTCCACTAGACTCCATGTTTGTCCCCATCCCTAAATGCCGAGACCCAAGGGCTCTGCATTTACCAGAAAGTAGTCCCTGAAAAATTCTGGTAGTTCCATGCTCAGTAGATCCACATCAAGAGGCAGCAAAGAGAAGGCCCATTCATCACAGCTCACATCTGTGGGGGACAGAAAGTATCAGCCTCCCTGCAGAATACTCTTAGCTCTACGTCCAGAGGGAAGGTCTACCATAGTCATGCAACAAATACATGAGTGTCTGCCATAGGCTGGTATGTGCTTAGCAATGGAGACTCAAGAATAAGTCACAGTCCCTGCACTTAAGGAGCTCACACTCTGATCATGAAAGGAGATAAGTCCAGAGTAGCCTGTAATACAATGTCATAAATGGTGGGTTTTTACTAGAGGACGGACCAAAGGTATCCAGAGTCCTCAACAGGGCCCAGAATTTTTCAGGGACTACTTTCCGTTAAATGCAGGTTTTTACAAGAAAGCCATTCATTCACTATTCAGCAAGTATTTACTGAACGCTGCCTACATTTGTGACATTAGGTACCAGGGATACAGCAGTGAACAAAATGGACGTGCTCACAGTCTTCTGGAACTTATGATCTAGGGGGGGAAAGACACATCAAACTATTTAACTATAGTTATGCTCCAAAGAAGTAAAGCAACAAGTCAGGAGCGCAAATACTGCAGGGACCTAACCACAACTGAAGTGTAGGAAGGACTTCCCTCAAGAAAAGACAAGCTTAGAATTCGAGTAAGATTTGGGGAGGTAAAAAGTTGTAGGGCAGAGAATACTCTAGGCAGCAGGAAACATATGTGCAAAGTCTCTGTGGCTGGACGGTGATGAGGAGAAAGGAGCAGTGCACGATGAGGCTAAAGGAAGGCTAAAAGGACAGGAAAAGGCCAGATGGTACAAGGCACAGGAGGCTATGTTGAGGACTCTGGACATTACACGGAGCCACTCAGGACTTACAGCAAGGAGTGCTGTGGTCAGCTTTGGGCTGCATAGAGAATGGTGTGAGGAATACACAGAGGACAGAGGCCCAACTTTTTCAGTGGGAGTCTTGGAAGGCGAGATTAGAGGAGCTGGTCGTTGCCAACTCTGGGTCCTAGGGTCCCTTTCATGCACTCCACAGGTATTCTAATCTGGGGACCTGCTCCTATTCCCATTCTCAGGAACCTCCCCTGCTGCTGTACTGCCAGGAAGAGCAAGAGGAGGAGTTGGGGGTGGAAAACGACCATGATTTCTTTCTTTCACACGTTCTCTCTCCTTTTCTACTCAAATGCCTCTCACCTCCAAAGATGCCCTCTTCCTCCAGCACCATTTCACATGCGTAAAACTGAAAGAGGAGAGGAAGCTGATTAGCAACCACCTTCTTCCCTTTTTTGTGTGTGTTTTTTTTTTTTGAGTAGGAGTCTCACTCTGTCGCCCAGACTGGAATGCAGTAGCCGCTCCCAGCCACCGCAGCCTTGACCTGCTGGGCTCCGGCAATCCTTCTGCCTCAACCTTCCGAGTAGCTGGAACTATAGGCACGCACCACCATGCCTAGCTAGTTTTTTTGATTTATTGTAGAGATGAGGTCTCGCCAAGTTGCCCAGGTGGGTCTCGAACCCTCAGGCAATCCACTCACCTCAGCCTCCCAAAGGCGCGGGATTACAGGCTGAGCCACAGAGCCTGGCCCTTTTTTTTTTCTTTTTGAGTAAAAGTCTTACTCTGTTGCCCAGGCTACAGTGCAGTGGCACACTCACGGCCACCGCAGCCTTGACCTGCTGGGCTCTGGCGATAATTCCGCCTCAGCCTTCCAAGTAGCTGGAACCATAGCCACACGCCACCACACCTGGTTAATTTCTTTTTTTTGAGTTGGAGTCTCACTCTGCCACCCAGACTGGAGTACAGTGGCCGCTCCTGGCTACTGCAGCCTCGACCTGCTGGGCTCCGGCGATCCTTCCGCCTCAGCCTTCCAAGTAGCTGGAGCCACAGGCGTGCGCTACCACGCCCAGCTCCTTTTTTGATTTATTGTAGAGATGAGGTCTCGCCAAGTTGCCCAGGCGGGTCTCGAACCCGTGGGCTCAGGCAATCCACTCACCTCAGCCTCCCAAAGGCGCGGGATTACAGGCTGAGCCACTGAGCCTGGCTAAAAACATTTTTTTAAGAGACATGTTCTTGCTGTGTTGCCCGGGCTGGAATATAGTGACTATTCACAGACCCAATGATGGCGTCGTAGCCTCCAATGCCTGCACCCAAGCTGTCCTCCCACGTTGGCCTCCGGAGTAGCTGGGACTATAGTGGTGCACCACAATGACCAGCTGTCCACCTTCATCTTTTTATCCTTTCTCCCTAAGATCCCTGATGTCAAATCCACTGGTGTCTATTTAATAAATCCAGTGGTGTCTATTAATTGCTTATCCTACTGAACTAATCTAGCATTTGATATTATTGCCCATTCTTCCTTGATTTTTTTTTTTTTTTTGAGTTGGAGTCTCACTCTGTCACCCAGACTGGAGTGCAGTGGC